GTCAGGTGTTTCTTTTTAGTGTTTGGTTCATTCTTTTCTTTCTTTTTTTTTTCTTTTTTTTTTTTTTTTTTGGTTTTTCAAGACAGGATTTCTCTGTATTGCTTTGGAGGTTGTCTTGGAACTCGCTCTGTAGACCAGGCTGGCCTCAAACTCCTGCCTCTGCCTCCTGAGTGCTGGGATTAAAGGTGTACACCACCAACACTCAGCTGTTCTTTCTTTTAAAGACTTATTATGTGTATAGTGTTCTGCCTGCACATATCCCTGCAGGCCAAAATAGGGCATCAGATCAGATTCTGAGCCACCATGTGGTTGCCAGGAGTTGAACACAGGACATTTGGGAGAGCAGCAAGTGCTGAGCCATCTCTCCAGCCCCATGGTTCTTTGCACTTTGTTTGTTTGTTTGTTTTTTGTTTTTAAGGCATGGTCTGAGCGATGGATAACAAATTTGTGCTTTGTGGGTTTGTTTTTGAAATTTTGTGAGAGGATCTTATTATATTCCAGGCAAACCTTAATAAACACCTCAATCTTCCTTGGTCCTCCATGCCGAGGATGCACCTCAGTCCTCAAAACTGGAAAAGACTTGATTAGATCACAGGTTGGAGGGCAGTGGTGGCTCACACTTCAATCCCAGTGCTCAGGAAGCAGAGGTAGATAACTGAGTTCAAGGCCAGCCTGGTAAACAGACGTCCTCCAGGAAGCACCAGTTTTTCTGTGCCAGTGCCCACGGTGGGATTTCTGTTCTTAGTAACAACGATGGACTGGCTGGAGACTTGAGACTTACTGTACATAGAAAGACCCAACCTTCAGGTTCCCTGTGGGTTCCCGCCAGGGGAAGCATGTGGTAAATGACACAGGAAAAGGAAACAAGGACAAACAAGAGATGTCAGAGGACAAAAATCACAAAACCCTGAGGAGTTTCAGGGGAAATAATAATAGGATTTGGGGGCTTGTTTCCAGATGGTGGAAACCTTCAGGTTCTATCCTAGCTCTGGGAAGCAAAATAAATAAAAAGCCTGCTCACCTGACCCAACTCTAGCTGGGGTACCTAATAAAATACTGGAACAGGGAATGAGGTGGTGCAGCCTGGCAAGCATTCAGGATCTGATGAAAACTGGGTTTTTTGAAGCTAGTGAAATTGATTTATGTATCCCTGGCTTTGAACCTTACTCCTGTTATTGGTGTGTCTACCCAGGTAGGCATGATTGGAATGACAAGGCAGGTAGGTTTCCATGAGATTGAGGCTACTTCCTTGAGGTTAAGAAGAAGCGTGTCTCAAAAAACAATATTGCCTATGATGAAATGCTTTGAACATCAGAGATTATATAGTTTCACAGTTATATGAACACTCCTATCGGAGTATTTTAGTTCCAGGCATCCATGATAGAATCACGTAAACTTAGTAAATATTGATAATAGTCTTCTAGGCTGAATAAAACTCCACTGTGTATGGGTGTCATGTTGCACAGCCACACAAAGAGGCTACTGTGACTAGAGCCACAATAATATGGATGATGTGTAGGCATCTATTGTGATTTAGCTTTCTTTCCTTCCTTCTTCCCTTTTTATTGCATTTTACTTGTGAGTTTGTCTTGACAACCAGGCTTGCTCTGCAAGCAGCTGTACCTGGTGAGCGATCTTGATTGCACTAGATTCTTTGGAATGCCTAGGTCATTTATCTGATTTATGTGGTACTTCCAGTTTCTTCATACTAACTTCATGGTGGGTGTGAGTTTACATTGCTATCCACAGGGAGACACACTATCCTTGAATTGGAAACTATGTATGGAGCCCTTGGCTAGCTTGAACTTTCAGGGATGGTCCTCCTGCCTCCACTGCCATGCTTGGTGTAAAGGAATTTGCATGAATTGTGTTCTCAGCAGGATGACTGAGAACATACCTCAGGAATCGTTTTGTCTAATGTAGCTGTCATGGCTTACTCAAAAGTCAAATATGTGTTTGGGAATGGTTACTTCATTTCTATATAAATGTATATGTATATTTTAATTTTTCAAGACAGAGTTTCTCTGTAGCTTTGGAGCCTGTCCTGGAATTCAGTAGAACAGGCTGGCCTTGAACTCACAGATTTGCCTGTCTCTGCCTCCCCAGTGCTGGGATTAAAGACAAAGGCCCTTATCGTCCAAGGCCATTTCTGTATTTTTGAGGCAATCCTCCCATAATAATATGTTAGAGGGATTTTAACTCTTCTTGTTGAACCTGCTCTTGTTTCTTTTTAGGCCTGCTTTCATTTCTACCTATAAACACCACCTTTCCTACCAAGCTTAAAATGGATTTTGCTTTGGCTACGTAAGAATTAATCATTGAGGGGGTAGGGCCATTGGCGGGGCCTGGGGTAAGCCATTTCACCTCTGCTTCCTGAGCACTGGGATTGAAGTGTGAGCCACCACTGCCCTCCAACCTGTGATCTAATCAAGTCTTTTCCAGTTTTGAGGACTGAGGTGCATCCTCGGCATGGAGGACCAAGGAAGATTGAGGTGTTTATTAAGGTCTGCCTGGAATATAATAAGATCCTCTCACAAAATTTCATTGCAACCACAAGACTTATGAAGTTAAATATGTATTGTAGGAAGACCTATGGGGGATGGGAGCAGAGGGCATGTGCTCTTAGAATTGAAACTTTTGATTTTTGATTTTGGGGGGTTTTGTTGTTGTGGTTTTTTGTTTGTTTTTTCCAGCTTTGAACCCTGAAACTTCTCTTGGCTGGTTCAGTTACTGACAGCACAAATTCAAGGGTTGAATGACGTCACAAACACTGGGGTCTGGTCTCAATAGTAACTTTCATGTTGGGGTAGTAGTTCACTTGAGAACACAAAATCTCCAGATTAACTGATGTCAAATACTGTTGAATCATGAGATCCATCAATTTTTTTGTATTGTCTAGACCTGCATCTAAAACTATATTGTAGCCGGGCGTTGGTGGAGCACACCTTTAATCCCAGCACTTGGGAGGCAGAGGCAAGCGGATCTCTGTGAGTTCGAGGCCAGCCTGGTCTACAAGAGCTAGTTCCAGGACAGCCTCCAAAGCCACAAAGAAACCCTGTCTCGAAAAACAAAAAAAAAAAAAAACCCCAAAAAAAACTATATTGTAAAATCTTTTAAAGCATGTGTTTAGATGAATTGTTTAAATGTAAACTGTCAGTTTTTGTCTTAAAGCTATAGATATATTTTAAATTTTAAAAATGGAATAGAAAGGTGTCCTGCAATCTCCACAGTGACTCATTTCAAGCACAGTTGTGCAGGATCCACCAGGCTTGACAGTCCCTAGGCCTGATGAGCCACCAGGCTATGGAAGAACAATTGGGTTTGTTCATGGAGAGAACTTGGTTAGACAGATGATTCTCTGTAACCCTACTGCCAGACAGGGTTTTTCTGTAACCCTGGCTGTCCTGGAACTTACTCTGAAGACTGGGCTGGCTTTGAACTCAAAGATCTGCCTGCCTCTGCCTCCCGAGTGCTGGGATTAAAGGCGTGGGCCACCACCGCCCGGCCAGCAAGTTGTTGTTTTTAATTTATATTTGTGTCTGTGTGTGGGTAAGTGCTTGTGTGTGCCAGAGGCATTGAGGTGTAGGGTTCCTCCTGGAGCTGGAGTTACAGGCAGCTGAGCTGGGACTGGAACATGAGTCCTGCAAGGTCCGTCGACTTTAACCACTGGGCCATTCTTCTAGTGCCTTCTGAGGGTTTGTAATCCCTTTACTTGGGCTCCAGGCCAAGCACATGGAGAGCTCACTGAATATAATATGTACAATCCCTTGTAAGGTGTTACCTTTTTACCTCTTGAAAAGGAAATGGTGTGTGTTCTTTATGGAAAACAGTGCAACCTTAAAAGCCTTGCTATATTCTCAGGCCCTGATGGAGAACTACTGTTGTCTAATTTTTTAAAAAGATTTTTCTGTTTTCATCTTTATGGAAGCAGCCAGAAGAAGGAGTTGGGTCCACGTCTCAAAAAAAAATGTTTATGGTTTGCGGTATAAGTCAGTAGTAGAGCCTTTGCCTAGCATACACAAAGCACTGGCCCATACGCCCTCAAGTTTGCCTGTGAATTTCAGTGCCTCACTTGAATACATACTTGGCTCATCCCCCCATACTCCATATGACAATTCCATTTTTCAACCATTTTGACAAATCGAGCATCCTTGTAAGTTACACTGAGATCAAGAGATGAACAAGTTGGGTGGTCTCAATGGATCCAGTTTAATTTCCAAGCAGTCACATGGTAGCGTACAGAACCAATATCTCCACACTTAGTAATGTCAAGGATGAAGTAGAATATCCTGAATTACTACACAGCAGTTCAATATGTGAACTACACTTGCACTTAAGCAAATGAACAGTGCCAAACGATCCTTGTCAGTGATAGGAAGTTAGTCACATAAGACTAGATTCGAACCTTAAGAACGATGATTTGTAACCTGACTGAGTTCATGCCTCTGATAGTTACAGGGAAAACTCAACACACTGCACCACATCCTCCATCTTTTGTGATGCAGGGTATTGAACTGAGACCCACATATCCTTTGCCAAGTGTTGACCACTGAACAAATGTACTATTTTTGATTGCTTGATTGACTGGGGTGTCTCTATGTAGCTCTGGCCAACTTATCAGTCATACAGAACAAACACAGGTTTACATGTCTGACTCCCTGGGTTTACAGGAGTGAACTGCTATGTGTGGTTTAAATGGTGGTGGGGGTGGGGTGGAGGAAGACTGGAGATATTAGGTCTAGGACTCAACAAATGCTATTGAAGCCATATCTCTAAGCTCATTTGAAGTGCTATTAAGTTAAGTTGTTGAATTCCAGCTGGGCATAGCTGTCCTCACCTGTAATCCAAGTTCTGACACTGAGTCAGGAGCCTTGCCATAAATTCCAAGCTTGTCTGGATACATAGCAAAAGGCCTATGAACAAAGACATAGCAAAGAGGCTATGAAATAATTGTCTTATTTCAGCAGGTAATGTGAGACATTTCTGTGTTTGCTTTACAGAAAGACGATAACAACAAACCAGTAAATGGCCCCAAGCCAGAGTCCATGGACTGCAGCCAATGTGGTCATGGGGAAGAAGGGCAGAGATTGGATTTGATCACACATCCCCTTGAAAATGTAGGGAAGAATACTGAAAGCATGACGGGAATCGAGGTGGGGCAGTGGACGCCAACCAAGAAAGCCCACTTATCAGGTCAAGTCAAGGGAGACCTCGATGCAAATTTAACAGAGGTTGAAAATTCCCAGCCCTCTGAAGATGACAGGCAAGAAACTAAACCTTCCCCGATGTTTGCACAGACCATAAGAAATGTCATGAAAAATGTGCACTGTTTACCTGCAGACACAAACTTTCTGGTCAACAAATTGGATCTTGAAGAAATTAGCAAGGTATTGGGAAATAATTCCTCTAAATTGCCAACTGACCCCTCAAACTGCAATGATGCCATGAGCTCCATCACTTCAGTAGGGGGTTGTGATCAGTTCAAGGAGACAAATGACATCTTGCTCTTCCATAAGCCTGGCTTGAACTGCCGATCTGGTGCAGACTCCACTATCTTCAATAATCATCCTAATACACACAGTGCTGGCAGTCAGCCCCATACCCCTGAGAAGGTACCTGGTAAAGAACCTAAAGATGACTCTCCAGTTCAGCCAAGTCTTTTGTCACTAATGAAAGACAGGAGATTGACACTGGAGCAAGTGGTAGCCATCGAAGCCCTTACTCAGCTCTCAGAGGCTCCATCAGAGAATTCTTCACCATCGAAGTCAGAGAAGGATGAAGAGACCGATCAGAGAACGGCTAGTCTGCTTAATAGTTGCAAGGCTATCCTTAATTCTGTGAAAAAAGACCTCCAGGACCCAAATTCACAAAGGAAGTGTCTTCAGCACAAGGGCACTGTGGTCCTCAATGGCCAGAATGCAACGTTCAAATTGTTGGATAGCTCAGCTACTAATCAAGCATTTACAAAGTCACATGAACATTCGAATTCACTTGTAGCCAGTAGGAAATGCTTTGCTGGAGGCAAATCTACCCTTGATAGTTCTAAGAATTCATATCCATTGCCAGTAGAAAGTCATAATCTGGAAAACTGTTGTCAGCTGCTAAACAGTGATCAAAAATTGAATTCCCAGCATGATCAATTGTGTCACGATGCACCCTACAGTCAAATTGAAGAAGATGTCGCAGCACAATTAACCCAGCTTGCATCCACAATTAATTACAATCTTACAAATCCAGAGAGTGAGAATACTGAAAGTCCACCCGGGAGCCTTGCTGCAAAGACTATACAGCAGAAACATAGTCAGGAGAAAGGCATGGCACAACAGAAACCACCTTCAAGTATACAAAACAAACCTAGCATACCGCCAGCAAAGCCAAAGAACAAGAACAGGAAAAAAGCAAAACCGACCCCCAAAGCAGACAAGCAGAAAAAGGAACCCCCTGTCCTTAGCTCTCAAGAAAATGATCAGAAGGAACAAGAGCAGCTTGCAACGAACTATGGTAAAATGCATGACATCTGGATGTCATCCAAATTTCAAAGGTTTGGCCAGTCTGGTCCACATGATGCTCCTGTTCATTTGGGAAATATCCCTATCTTTGACCAAATAGCAATATTGGGGGTTCATAGAAAAATATCCTCACAACACAATACGCTATTTCCTCCTGTCAATCAGATAAAATTCACAAGATCCTCTGATTTGGCAAAGGAGGAAGTGAAAGTTGAGCCACTGGAGTCGCTAACACCATGCCACTTCAAGACAGAATCCAGCGGGCAGGCATTTGCAGACCTGGCAGATGTATCTCAGGTAGAGCCCAGAGTGAACATCGGTGAGAAAGCTCACCCTCTGCCACAGCCTTCCCCTCCATCTATCCAGTGTGCTAACATGCCTGGTGCTGATAGAACACAATTTCACCTAGGCGCTCAAGAGAACCTGGTGCATCAGATACCACCAACGTTGCCTGGTACCTCTCCAAAGACACCTGTTCCAGAGCTCGGGTCCATCCTCAGGAAAGACAATGTGTCAAGTAGCAATGTAATTGGTCTGACTTCAAAGTGGACACCAGGAAAACCAAGGAATGGTCCACTGGGGGACTCTACCACACAAAGTGCAGTTGCAGATTTAAACGAGACCATCAAGAACTGCCTTGGCGAACCTGCAAAATGGCTGCTACCTGGAGTGAATGAGGAGAAAGAATCTGACCTGGAAAGGCCCCCCTGTGACTGTAAAGGTGAGTGTTCATTGTATCTGTATTTTCTTTCCAATTCATCTTTTTGGGTGGGGGCATCTTTGGCCCTTAAAAGTCTAGCTAAGATGCACCAAATATTTTCCTGTTTTTCTACTGAAGTTTTATTTTACTTAGAAAAATGAAAGTTTCAACTCAAACTGGGAAAAAGAAGTAAACTTCCAAGTGGATAACAGTTCTAAAGCAGTTAATTTTCATGACTAAGAATGAATTTCCTCAGTGCATAATTATATTTGCTTTTTGTTCTACCTATAAATCTAAAATACATACATAGAATGTAAAAACATAAGGTTGCAGGTGGTTGAAAATACCACAGCTTCTGTCTGTGTTGTGCTTAAAGCTTTTTTTGTTGGGTAACTGATGTGTCTCGAGGGTGAAGATGCACTTGGCACAGGTCTGCCTGGACTACCCGTGGAAGCTATGATGGAGGTTCAATGACCTCCACATCTTTTATTATAATTATAATTTTGTAATGTTTTTCAAGACAGGGTTTCTCTATGAAACAGTCCTGGCTGTCCTGCAACTCTGTAGACAGGCTGGCTTCAGAGATCCCGAGTGCTGGGATTAAAGGCGTGTGCTACCACTGCCTGAAAGACAGAAGGGTTTTAAGTCTAGCCTGACCTTTTTAGCAAGAACCTGTCTCGAGACAAACAAAACTAGGGCTGGAGAAAAACAAACACAGCGGTTTAAAGCACTTGCCCACACAGACATAAATTTGTTGGAAGCTGTAGGAGCTGGAAGAAGTTTCAGAGGTCAGTAAAATCACCCAGCTCCAACTCGGTGGCTCACAAGCAGTCATAACTGTTTTCAGGAAACCCAATGCTTTCTTCTGCCAGGCAGATTTTCCCAATTGAAAAGGTTCTACATTTATCTTATAAAATATCAATCCCTGCCGGTATAAAGATTAGTGATCATTCTTTTTTGAGAAATTTGCTCAATATATGTGACTTGTTTGCTGCCTAGTCACTGTCCATCCAGATTTCATGGAAGGACTCTTACAAGCCAAATATGGCAGGGAAGGCCTGTAAATCCTAGCCAAGTACCTGTCTTGTGAAATCAAAATAAAAGAAAGAAAGAGATTGTGTTCTTGACATTTGTCTGGCTTCTTGAAGTTTGTGGGATAGACTGATTCAATTTCTCCAAAGCAGGGCTAGTTATTATTCATGTCATGGATAGTTTGAATGAAAGATTTGCTTTGAACCAAATGTGATGAGTATTTTTTATACTAGAAGTGGGTGGGGTTTTGAGAGTGAATTGTTAAATGATAGCTCTGGAGATGCAATGTAATTGTCTTGATAGTGTATTCCAGTACACTCAGGAGGCAATGGTGGAATTATTGTTGTATTCATAACAAGTTTAAGGCAAGCACCAGATGTAAAAAACCTTGTCTCAAAACAGAATGAATACCCACACACATTTCTTGCATTGGAGAGCATTCTCACTAGAGTTGGGATAGAGTGAAACAGAACTAAGTGTCTTAAGTAGACCCTGCAGGTCTCCTCCACCTGCCATTCCTTTTAAAGCCTAATATTACATGAAGTCCTTTTCTGTGTATCTTTGCAAAGGGAAAAATAAGATCCCCCCCCCAAAAAGGCCTGTACATTTGTTTAAAACATTGAGTGCCATGCTTTTTAATAAGTCACTGGGTGTCAACCTGTGGGTTGAAACCCCTTTGTGGGGTGTCGAATAACCCTTTCACTGGGGCCATCTAAAATATCAGATATTTACATTACAATTCCTAACAATAGCAAGAATCATTAAGTAGCAATGAAATAAATATGGTTGGGGAGTCACTATGACCTTGTTAGGAAGGTTGAGAACTGCTGCTCTATGTAATGTTTGTTCTTGAACACAGAGAAATAAAATCTCAGATCCACCTGCCTCTGCCTCCCAAATTCTAGGCTTGTATCACCACTGCCTGGCTGCCTATTTCTTTTCTTTTTTTTTTTTTAAAGATTTGTTTATTTATCGCATATACAGTGTTCTGGCTACATGCCAGAAGATAGCACCAGATTGAATTTTAGACGGTTGTGAGCCACCATGTGGTTGCTGGGAATTGAACTCAGGACCCCTGGAAGAGCAGTCAGTGCTCTTAACCGCTGAGCCATCTCTCCAGCCCCTGCCTATTTCTTTTTTAAAAGAACATCAATATATAAGGCAGAGCGGGCTTGATCCCTAAGACATGTTTCAGTTCTCCTTCCCTGGTGCTAGGGTTGAAGGTGTGCAGCTCTAATCTTAGCTAGTGACTTGCCTTTTACAGTCATCTCCCATGTTTTTAAGACAGGCTGTCAGGTAGTTGAGACTGGCCTGAAGGCTTGTCATGACTAAGCATCCTAATTGTGTGAACAGCCACAGTTTTTAATTTAATATAATTTCATTGATATTAAAAGTTTCTAGGGATTGCTGAAGAGCTGTTGTATTAATATATAAATTATCTATAACTGCCTATTTGCAGATGTTGAAGTTGTCTTTGGATAGAGTGGAAAATCACAAGTAACTTTCTTAGGCCAGGTGGCAGCGGCGCACGCCTTTAGTTCCAGCACTCGGGAGGCAGAGGCAGGCGGATCTCTGTGAGTTCGAGGCCAGCCTGGTCTACAAGAGTGAGTTCCAGGGCAGCCTCCAAAGCCACAGAGAAACCCTGCCTCGAACCCCCCCCAAAAAAACCCTCAACTTTCTTGCATACCATCATTATAAAAAACATAATTGTGGAAGTGCGGTGGGCTATCTTTTACCGGTACTACTTAGGATCCTGAAGCTAACCTTTTCAGATTTATTGCTCTCTTACCCTAACCCTGAAAACTACCAAGGTGAAAGAGGTGCCAGGTGTAACCCTAAATCTTTGTCAGTAGAGTCAGGGGCAGCAGGAGTTCATCTTTGGCTGCTTAGCTGAGGCTCCACTGAGTACCCATCTTAATAATTGATAGTCATATTAATAAAAAGGTAAAAGAGATGAAATATGATTCCTTAGATTTTTGTCTTTCTTCTTTGACTCCTAGAAGAATTAGCAAGCAGGCAGGGGCAAATCCAAAGACAGGATCTGTTGTCTTATTCTTTAAAGTTGAAACTGATTAAAAACAAGAAAGAAAGAAATAGAAAGCCCCTGTGCTATTATTTCAAAACTGGGTCTAATAATCTTATTCCTTCCACAGATCAATCAGACAAAGGCCCATATTATACACACCTGGGGGCAGGACCAAGTGTTGCTGCTATCAGGGAACTCATGGAGAATAGGTGAGGAGACGTGTTTCCCTGCTAGAATCATTCTTCATCATGGACCTGGGTCAATGCAGAGGAAAGGTCTTGGGGTGATCGTGAGGTGAATGAAGATGTTCAGGAGTGTGAACCGGGTCCTCGGGTCCTCGGTTGTCCTCCTGAGTTCTTCCTCCCAGGAACTCGGAGCCCTGGAAACATGCCCTCATGCAGCAAGCCTAAATGATAAATCAGGAACATGCATTTTCCTATTACTATACAGATGACCATCACCAATGCTAACTTCCCAACACTTGTACGGAGGCCAGGCTATTTTTAGAGGCAACAGAACTGGGCTACGAACAATCTGCCACATAGCAGCTGGCTTTTAGCCAACAAATGACAACTGTTTCATTTAAACTGTGTCTTCAATGAACTCAGAGGTGAGAATATGGGAGTTTTAAGTGCAGACTGGCATTAATTGGTCCCACCCCCTCCTGTGTTCTATATTCAGGTACGGCGAAAAGGGAAAGGCAATACGGATTGAGAAGATAGAGTATGTGGGGAAAGAGGGCAAGAGCTCACGGGGCTGCCCGGTCGTGAAGACTGTGAGTACCGCCAGTCTATTATCCTGGTTCTTTGGAGAATGGATTTTTCCCAAGGGTTACAATAGAAATGTTTTGTTTTGGTTAAAATGTAGACTAGAAAATTGCCATGTGTGTCCATGGGAAGATGAGAAGGAAGCTCTGTGTCTTTACTAGGTTTTGGATTTCTGTGGTAGGGTTAGGGAAAGAAAAAGTTTAAGTGCACAGTTTGGGTCACACATTTGCTCTGGACGGTGTGTCTGCATAGGTATTGTAGTTTTTAAAAGACCCTGACTGCCCTTGAAACTAGACTAGGTTGCCCTGGAACTCCCACTGCCCCATGGAGAAATCTTTTTTTTCTGTTTCTTTTTTTCTTTTTCTTTTTTTTCTGAGACAGGGTTTCTCTGTATTGTTTTGGAGCCTGTCTTGGAACTCGCTGGATAGACCAGGATGGTCTTGAACTCAGAGATCCACCTGCCTCTGCCTCCCAAGTGCTGGGATCAAAGGAGTGCACCATCCAACACACAGCTTTTCTTTTAAATCATGTACTCCCACACCCTAACCCCAGTTTGATAGTGCTTTGGTATGGTCTTGTCTCCTTCATTTTGCATTAATCCTAGAATATCCACATTAAGAGGAGTAATAACAAGATTGTGTAAGGGACATTTCTAGACAACCGGTTGAAATTTTAGCATATGGAGTTAAGGTTGTCCTATGTTTGGATGCAATATGGGGTAGGGGGAGAAGGGAGAATCAATTGTGTATATGGACGCCAAGGTATACAACAACGCCCCTTTGTTGTTAATTTAATGTTTATTTTTTGAGGAGGAGACTTGCTTAGCAGAAAAATAAACTAGTAACAAAGGTTAAGGGGAAGGTTTGAGGTAATATAGCTGGGCAGTGGTGGCACTTTAATTTCAGCATCTCAGCACTCAGAAGATCTCTGAGTTCAGAGGCCAGCCTGGTCTACAGAGTGAGTTCCAGGACAGGCTCCAAAGCTACACAGAAAAACCTTTCTCAAAAAACCAAAAGAAAAAGGTAATATCCAACAATTCTGACCATCTTTATTCCACTCTGAAGGTCAGTCACATGTTCTCCCCAACTGATCTCTTGATCTAGTGGCAATTGAAGAGTCCAGTCAGGCGGTTGTATATTTGTTATGCAACTGAACCCCCCCCCCCCCCGCATGCAAAAGCAAAGAGTTTTTTTTTTTGTTTTTTTTAACAAGACAGGGTTTCTCTGTATTGTTTTGGAGGCTATCGGTCCAGCCTGGCCTCGAACTCACAGAGATCCGCCTGCCTCTGCCTCCCGAGTGCTGGGATTAAACGCGTGTGCCACCAACACCCAGCCCGGCTTTTTTTTTTTTTTTTTTTTCCAGTTTAAATTTAGATAAGAATCAAGGTTGCTTCACAAGTCAGTTCCAGGTCCCTCTCCCATTCCCTCCCTTCCTCCCGTGCCCTCCCTCCCCCCCCCCTTAGGGTTTTGGTTTTTTTTTGAGGCAAGGTTTCTCTGTATTGCTTTGGAGCCTGTCCTGGAACTCACTCTGTAGACCAGGCTGACTTCGAACTCACAGAGATCAGCCTGCCTCTGCCTCCCAAGTGCAGGGCTTAAAGGCATGCGCCACCAACATCCGAGGTGGAGATCTTAAAGGGTTATGTGTATGCAACTGCAGCTTTTGAAGTATCTTTCCTAAGGATTTATTTTCTGGTTTTTAAAAACTGTCCCTGTCAAGCAGGAGTCAACTCCTACTTTTTTAAGTTACCTGAATGAATGGTGGTGATGTATGTGGGCATGCACACAGGAGTACACATGCATATGGAGACATTTCCTTAATACAGAGGCTCTTATTCGTCTAGAGCTTGCGATAGAGCTCCAGAGATATTACTTTCTCTACTTGCAGTGTGGAGATTACATATATATGAAGTCCCTCCTGGTGTTTTCATATGTATTCTAGAGACTTGAACTAAGGCCCTCACACTCGAGAAATCCTACCAGCCTCTAAATGGGTTTTTAAAAATATGTATATTGTAGCTGGGCAGTGATAGCACACGCCTTTAATCCCAGTACTTGAGAGGCAGATCTGAGTTTGAGACCAGCATGGTCTACAAAGCTACACAGACAAACCCTGTCTAAAAAACCCAAAATCAGCTGGGTATTGGTGGTGCGCGCCTTTAATCCCAGCACTCGGGAGGCAGAGGCAGGCTTACCTAATAAGAGGACCTTGTGATATAGTGCTGGAGATGAAGTTTAGTGTCAATGGGTGGACTTTTATAGTGGGTGATATGTAGATGAACATGTTGATTTAGTCCATTGATGGTTGGTTTGCCCAACATGACAAGATATAAAAAAATTTCTGGACACATCTTCTTAAAGTGCAATCTGGGGCTCAAGGAGGGCTCATTTGCCTGAGAAATGTTAGGCCTTTACTATTTCTATAGAAAATGAAAGTCTTGGTCACTATGTGCAAATGTATAAGAAATGGGTTTTAGTTTGGTTTAATTTTTTCTTTTCTAATGGCCATGTTTAATTTTTTTGTTAGTGGTGTGTGTTTGTTTGTGTTTGTGTACATGCTGCATAATTTAATTCTTCTGGGTTCTTGGGATCCACTGGCTTACCCATATCGCTGACTGTTCTTGATGAGTGCCTTCACTAAATTTGTTGAAGACTTTGTTAGGAATTGTAACTTCTTGATCCACCATTAATAAGAATTGTTCATTAATTTTGAAAGAATTGAACCTACCTGCCCATATATAACAATATATATAACCTGCATCAACATACCTTCTGAAAGGAACAGATTCATACAAATCTGTGTAGCCATCTAGCAAGAGTCATTGTCAAAGGGGTTGGGAACCAATGGCCATCAACAAAGAAATATAGCAACAACATGGTTTACTCATGCCTTGAAACATATTAATCAAAGAAAATGATTGAAATGCCACTGACTGTCTGGATCAGGCTGTCCCAAACTCAAAGTTACAGCTTTCTGAGGTCCTTGCAAGCACACTACCAACAATGCCAGAGAGAATTTTAAATAATATTAAATCCAAGACTTTGCACATGGCAGGCAAATTGCTATAAAGCCTTTGCCCCCCCCCCCATTAAAAAATGTGTTGCCGGTGCATGTGTTGTTTTTGTTTTTTTTGGAGGGGGGTTGTTTGTTTGTTTCTTCAAGATAGGGTTTCTCTGTATTGTTTTGGAGGTTTTTCTGGAAGTTGCTCTGTAGACCAGGCTGGCTTTGAACTCACAGAGATCAGCCTGCCTCTGCCTCCTAAGTGCTGGTATTAAAGGTGTGCGCCACCAATGTCCAGCTGTTTTTGTTTTTTTTAAGATTTGTTTATTATGTTTACACTGTTCTGTCTGCACGCTAGAAGTGGGCACCAGATCTCATTATAGATAGTTGTGAGCCACCATGTGGTTGCTGGGAATTGAACTCAAAACCTGGAAAAGCAGTCAGTGCTCTTAACCTCTGAGCCATCTCTCCATCCCATTCACTGAGATAGGTCCATCCCTAGTGCTCAATGGACATTTTCTCAATCAACAAAAAGAGGGTCACAAATTCTAGACAAGCTTACGCTGTGAGCCAAGACTCAAAGTCCAAAATTATTATATAATGCAAGATATTTTGAAGAATGCTAGTTTCATAATTCATGTGCAGGAAGGGTGAATGTGAAAACATGAAACACATGTACTTAACAACTTCCTCCAAGGCAAGGGACCACAAGCTCCCATTTCATCCACTTGCTTGGTCTGCAAAACCCTGCTTTGAGAGATACATGACCACATCCAACTTTTTAGTGCTTGGTGCGGATTTGAACTCAGGTCCTTATGTTTGCACAGTAAGCTGTCTTGTCCTTTGCCACAGAGCATAGGGAATGAATAACTGAATAAATGCTTATGAAGAAACACAATCTTCTTGAAAAGACTATCACACTGTAACTTGGCTCCCACAATTTACAAGTTGACACATCCTGTTGTAAAATAATGATTTTTGAGAGTCACACAACTCTGGCTGGCCTCGGGCCTTGGGTTTCTCCCGCTTTAGCCTCTAATTGCTGGCATTGTTAAGCATACGCTGAAACATATGCTCACAATTTTGTCACTCATAGTTTTCCATCTATCTGTGCTTAGGAGTTTGTGCTGCTGCAGAACAAAAATACCCTCTTCCCTCACACACCTCTTAGAGCTGAAGAGATGTCTCAGTGGTTGAGTGTATACATAGTGCTCTTGAAGAGGATCCAGGTTCACTTCCCAGCACCCATGTCGGTCATCTTGCATATGATGTACATACACATGCAAGCAAAGCATTCAATACCTGCCAGTGTTGATTTTCAGTTTTCTTTTCAGTAACCTATTTGTGCAAAAAGTCCTTACAAATTGTGTAATTATTTTTGTGTGCAAGCTGCATCCTGGAATAATCCTCTCCCACTCCTCACTAGATACAGTTCCCACTTCTGCTAAGAGAAGGGGAGGAGAAAGGTGCAGTTTTGTAACTGCAGATGGAACTGCCCACTTGGTACTCCAGTTTGTACCCAAGATAGTTTTCATGTGATTTTAGCCTTTTTGTTGGGGTTTGTGTTATCTTCGTATTTGTATGGGTGGAATAGTATATATCGGAATGTCTTCTTTATACCCTTTTTGTCTCTTGTCCTACAAGGGATCAAACTCCAGGCCTCTTCCATGCCATGCAAGCATCCTAATACTGTGATTAGGCCTCCAAATATTTTAAAATACTTTTCAGTATGTCTGATTGGCTGGCCAGGAACTCTGTAGTCCAGAAGCCTAACTGTGTTGGTTCTGGGGAATGTAACTCAGGTCCCATACATCCTTAACCTCCTTGATAGTCTTACCTCCTGAATTTTTATCACACACAGAAGCACACCATACAGTTCATATAGCGCATATTTAAAATACATATATGATTTGTGTGTATTAGTGGTGTGCTGGGTGTTGGTGTACATAGTTCCTGGCTGGAGGGTAACTGTAGATAGCCAGTGCTCTCTGTACCTTGGGAGTTTCATGCATCAAACTCAGGCTGCCAGTCTTCCGCTGTCTGGTTATTGAGTCAGGCTCCCTGTGTAGTGCTTGCTGGCCTGGAATGCTTGTGAAGAACGGGTTGGCCTCCTGCCCTCCAAATGCTCTAATTAAACTTTTGCCCCAGCACAACTAGCTGGCTGTCAGGCTCACAGCAAAATAAAGAGCTAGATGTGTGGCTAAGGATCATCCCAAACTTCTGCCCCTGCCCCCTACTCAGGAGTGTTGGGTTTATGTGGCATTTGGGATTGAACACAGAGACTCATATCCCAGGCAAAAAGTCCAGTTTTTACATTGCACGTCATGTTCTCCTTAGGTTGGTTTTGTTTGTTTGTTTGTTTGTTTGCCTCTGCATGCACCACCAACACACAGTTTCTCCTTAGGTTATTTAATTGCTCTATTAACACAGCAGAAACTTTTTAAAAATTAAACATTTCATATGGTTTTGTTGGGGACTGACTGCATTGGCCTTCATTATTCTGAGAACTCATACAGCTCCTAACTAATAATGTGTTTAATTTGTTTTTCACCATAGTTTTCTTCAACATGTCCTAACGTTGTTTCCCTGGACACAGACTGCCCCATGGTTGTAGACTTTACCAATTGATCCTGGGAAATAAATCAGTTTAACCAAGCAAGGCATTTGAGGCCATCATGGGTGACGTTGGAAGATTCTATCTCAGAACACTAGCCTTTCTAGTGCAAAAGTTGATGAATATAGGTCATTACCAGAGACCCTTGTTCAGTTCTCAGCACCCCCATGGTCTTCCAAAACTGCATGTCACTGACACTCTTGGCACTCCCCAGGCACCTAGCTTACATATGCTATATGACACTGTTCTTCCAGAGGACCCGAGTTCAATTCACAGCAACCACATGGTGGCTCACAACCATATGCAATTAGATCTGATTTAGACTTCTGGTGTGCAAGCATACATGTAGGTAGTACACTGTATACATAATACATAAATAAATCTTCAGCAAAAGAAAAAAATGACTTCAAATGTGTGACTGGTTTAGATGAATACATTCTGCATTTCCAGGTACTTAGAAGAAACAATGATGACGAGAAGGTTCTCTGTTTGGCCCGGCAACGTGTAGGCCACCACTGCCAGACAGCTGTGATGGTTGTGGTCATCGTTATTTGGCAAGCCATCCCTCGACCACTGGCTGATTATCTGTACGATGAGATCACAGATAACTTAAGATGCTACAGCGGGCATCCCACTGACCGAAGATGTTCCTTCAACGAAAAGTAATCAGAATTGCTTTGAACTGCTTGTAATTTTTCTTCTCCTCCCTTTTAGATGCTCTTAAGGATTTTCTGCTTTAGACTTTATGGGAGGGGGTGCTAGTGATTGAACCTCAGCCTTGCTCATCTTAATGGGCACATATCTAATGCATATATACACCCTCCAAACCTAGAATACTCATATTTGTTATTGTGTGTTACCCAACTCCATGTTATGAGGAAATGGTCTTTAAGTGAACATTCCTCATTAGAATTTGAGGTCTCTTCCCCATAAATTTAATGCTGAAGTCCATTACTGGTGATCTCCAGCCACCCTATGTGCGACCCCCCCATACCATTGTCTATGAACAAGTTGTCATTCCTTTTCATTTTGTTCTGATTTGTATGGAATTCTGGCTCTAATGATATCTGTGTGTGGCCTTTCAGCACTCCTGGCCCTGTGGACTTTATACCACTGTATTTTCTTACACAGGATTAGTTTTCCCTTTTCTTTTTTTGATACAGATTCTCAATATAAAGTACAGACATGATTCTCCTATGTCCTTATAACATTGTCATAAGTAGTAATTATGTTTTGTTCAATTTCTTGTTCTTCAAAGTGTAAAAAGAATGGTGTAGCAGATAACTCATTGGTAATTTTTTATCATTTAAAAAACTGAATATGAATTATTTTTTTGTCTACCAAGTTTAAATTCCTTATTTTGGCTTTTCGAGTCAGGGTTTCTCTGTATTGTTTTGGAGGCTGTCCTGGAACTTGCTCTGGAGACCAGGCTGGCCTCGAACTCAGAGATCCACCTGCCTCTGCCTCCCGAGTGCTGGGATTAAAGGCGTGCTCCGCCACCACCCATCTTTGACTTTCATATCTTGAATATTTTGAATAGAATTTTAAGGTGATTTTAAATTAAATGCAGAGTTGAGGCATATCTCAAAGTATAAAGTTCCTAAACAAAACAGCCTTTCTATTCCTGTTGTAAAAGTCATTTCATTAAAATGTCAGAGATTGTGTAGTTAGTGTATCGTATTCTCATTTCCAGTTTCATGCAAAAGAAAAATATGTCATTTTAGACATTTAGACAAAATTTTTATTTCTCCATCTCATGTGTGTCTAAGTCAGGAAGATTTGTTTGTTGTCTGCTTGGATTTAGAAACAACAATTTTAGTTAAATAAGGATCAAGAATGGATTCAGAGTGAAGGGGATTGATTTGAGGGTAGATGTATGTCTTAATGGAGAAAGTTAAATGCAGTGGTAAATATTATAACCTGCTCATAATCCATACATGTCTGTATTTTGTGACCTTGTCTAATGTCCTGCTCAATATCTTCTAGACGTACCTGCACCTGTCAAGGCCTCAATCCAAGGACATGTGGTGCATCTTTCTCCTTTGGCTGCTCATGGAGCATGTTTTTAAACGGCTGTAAGTTTGGGAGAAGCCCAAACCCTACAAAATTCAAACTTGCTCCAAACTATCCATTAAATGTGAGTTTCCTTTTGAATCTTCAGTTCATCATCTACAGTATATACAGTATAGGTTTTTGAGAACAAGAATTTAGCTGTCATGAATTACTAAAACATGTATGTAATGCATATTCTAAATATGTCAGGTAAAGACTATTTCATTTGTCTGTGGGTCTGTTTTCACGCTCTCCAACATTATCAAAGACAGTCAGAGTAGAACAAACCATTTGTCAACATCTAAAGAAAGTTTACTACCCACAGAACTACTATAATAGAATTACTGGAATACTACGTAGAGCCAAAATAAGACGTAGAAGAAGATATTTGAGACCTCTGAAACCTAGATGGATGATTCTGGAACAACAGGCCCAGGTGAGTAGAGAAATTAATCAAATTTACTATTCATCTTTTTAAATTGAAAAAATGAACTTCCAAGTCCTTAAGTCAAAATGTAGGCTGAATAGGTACTGAGTAATGGGATATATTTATTTGAATTTTGTTAGGGCAAAGGATTCATTACCACCACTAAATAGCTACATTTAAATATAATGAACAGAGTTCTTCACCTAATCAATGTGCAAACAGTATTTCATACCTGTTAATTTTAGGTTAAGGCAAGAGGACTGCTGCCAGTCAAGGCTTCATACTGAGATCTTATCTCAAAATCAAATGCTAAAAGGCTAGATTCCCATTTATGAGTTCTTGGTTAGTCAAGGGAGGTTTTGGAGACGAGGTTTCTCTAGTTGTCCTGGAGCTCACTTATAAGACCAAGTTGGCCTTGAACTCAGAGTGCTGGAATGGAAGGTATTTGCCACCAATGCCCAGAAAAGCATGTTTTTAGAGACATTCATCAGTAGAAATTATTTGCATTAAATATTCAAAGAAAACCACAGAGTTCAGCACATTGTAATTAAGCCATTTTAGTGCATAAATATCATAAATGGCTGGTATCAACCAATGTTTATGTGTCTGACAGTAACAATCATGAGAAAAGTCATATCTGCAGCTAAAGCTATGTAGCACCTCAGAAAAAGACTAGTGTAATGAATTATATTTGACCTTTAGATAAGTATAGAACTAGGTTTAGTAGATAACTATGGAACTAGATAACCTGCTTAGAATATCTGTAGTGTTATTAGTACTCATTTATTCTGGCAGGTTAAAGTCAAATGTAGTAGCAATCATCTTTGATCCCAGATCTTGGGAGTCAAACCCAGACAGATCTAAGTTAAGAAACAAGGGGTTAAGATTTAATCTTACTATATTACTCTATTATACTTCAATGTCACAGTTTTAGTTCTTGGTTAATAATTTAAAGACAAAAGCCAGGAAACTGTGAGTAGGCTAGTATAGGTGAAGTGTGTATCAGCTCTGTAAGCCAAAGCTGAGGAATTGGGGAGGACATAGAAAAACGCTTGACAGAATAAAGTCATAAGTTGTGTTTCATAACATTTCTCCAGATGTGCCAGGTGGTGGTTCTGGAGCCAGAGTCAGGGGGATCTCTGTGAGTTCTATACCAGCCTGGTCTACAAGAGTGAGTTCCGGGACAGCCTCCAAAGAAAGAAACTTTGCAAATGGATTTTTCAAACAGCTTATTGTAGTGATAGTAACAGTGTTCCAAGGACTCAATGCTGTGCCCAGGTTGGTTAGTGATGAAATCAGACTATGTCAGGAGAGACAGTTCTTCTGTGCAAATTGGAATGTTGATTTGATATTTCCTGAGTGATTGAGTAATTTCACCTTGAGGATAGTGTCACTTAGGTAGTCCAGAGTGCAGGCCCAGTGCTCTTAAACATAAAAAATACTTCTGGTTTTCACACCAATCAAAGGCAAAGCTCTGAGTAGAGCTGGGGAGATGTTTCAATGGTTAAGTGCTAGTATTTGCTTCTGTTCAAAACTTTACCCAAAACTATCATGGAAAATGATTTCCTCATACTGATTCTCACACTGGCTTGCCCATAATAAAGCAGGCTCTCCTATGCTGGAATGGCAAGCAAGATTCTTGGTAATAGTATTAATGGTATCTGTAATTTAAAATTATCTTTTTTTTTTTTTTTTTTTTTTTTTGGTTTTTCGAGACAGGGTTTCTCTGTGGCTTTGGAGGCTGTCCTGGAACTCGCTTTGTAGACCAGGCTGGCCTCGAACTCACAGAGATCCGCCTGCCTCTGCCTCCCGAGTGCTGGGATTAAAGGCGTGCGCCACCAATGCCCGGCTAATTTAAAATTATCTTATGGGGATTATCTTTTATTATAGGAAAAAAAGGATTGAACTGACTTTGAACAAAATGGCTGACATGTTAGCTCCAATTTATAAGCAGATGGCTCCAACTGCTTATCAAAATCAGGTATGTACATACTTATATCAAGTTTGTAGTCAAGAGGTAGTGCTCTGCTATACCATTAGGCTTTCCAGAAGCTTCAGAGATAAACAAACCTCTAGGGGCAACAGAACCAGGTGGGAGAACATCCTCATCTGTAAAGCACCTGTTTCAAAATCTACGAAGTAGGTTAAAAAGGATGCCTGCTGCTCTGGGAGTGGCAGGAATCCTCCAGAAGCCTGTTTCACTCCCCACTGCCACAAAAAAGAGCTCCTAGGGTTCTATCGAGCACTCACATGATTGTTCATGATCAACTCAGGATTCAGGGGATCCTAACCCACCTCTTGCTTCTATATGCAATGAATGGATGGATGTAGATGGTGTCCTGAACACATGTACATGCAGACAGTGCACTCATAAAATAAAATATAAAAACAAAAAACATCAAGCTGGTTGCAGTGACACAAGCATTTTATCTCAGCAGTCCAGAAGAATGCAGATCTGAGTTCAAGGCTAGCTTGGTCTACAGAGATTTCAAGGATAGCCAGAGATGTATAGAGAAATCCTTTCTCAAATACATGAATACTGTTCTGGTTAGAGCCAGACCCTGGCTGCTCATAGTTCATAAGGCAGTACTTTCTGCTTCTTAGACTCCTAACACTACACATGATTAGTGCATTCATTCATTGTGTTTGTCAACAGCCAAAGCACCCAGCACCTTTACCAACTAATGCCAGCCCTTAGTAACATACCTAGGTTCATGCATATATATGCACATATCTTGACATAGAAATTTAAGGAGGAAAAAAGACATGGGCTAGATAAACAAGGTGGTGAAAACTGCCCCTAATTCTAGTTGTCACCCTCTTCTAGTTTCTGAAACTGCACACAGGTAACATGCAGACAAAGTTACCCATACTGTTGTATTTTATTTTATTAATTTTTAAGGTGAAATATGAAGATGTTGCTGGAGACTGTAGACTTGGTACTAAGAAAGGCCGTCCTTTTTCTGGTGTCACCTGTTGCATGGACTTCTGCGCCCATTCTCACAAGGATATTCATAACATGATTAATGGAAGCACTGTGGTATGTATTTGCATGGCTTGCTCCCCGCCCCCTTGCCCCAGACATAGTTTCTCTGTGTAGCCCTGGATGTCCTACACTCACTCTGTAGACCATGCTGGCCTACCTTTACTTCTCAAATGTTGGAATTAAAGGTGTGAGTTACCACTGCGCAGCTAGCTGTGCTCATAAAATATAATTGTATTGAAACAGTTTAATATAAGTCCTCTCCATATACCTTATAGCTGTAGCTTGATGTTCTTGTAGGAACTACTTAGGTCCCTCTTTCCTCCTGGGCTACCACATCTATTGGTGGTGATATGTGCATTTGTGCTCATTTTATTGTGGATATCTCAAAGTCCTGCTCTTTTTTTTTTTCCTGAAACGGGTAAGGGTGAGGGACTGGTAGTAATGGAGGGACTGGAAATTGCAGTAATGTTAAGAGAAGAATAAAAAGTAAAAAAGAAAAAGAAGGCAAAAATACATTTATGATATAACATTAAATAATTTGTTGAGCAGAATAAATATTTATTAATTCATTTGATTATAATTTTATTTATTTATTTTAGTATTTTGAGACAGGGTTGGCCAGGGACTCCACCTGCATCTGGCTCCTGAGTGCTGGGATTAAAGGCATGCTCCACTACACAGTTTTACCTTTTGTGTAATAGATTTCCCTGTGTGCGTTGTGTGCATACATGTGTATGCATGGTTTCCATGAGGTTCTTTAAGAGAACGTTAGTTCTCTTGGAACTGCAGTTAGGAATGGCTATGAGCTGCCATGTGAGTGTTGGGAACTGTTGAGGCACTCAGTACTTGATAATCTACGGCAGGTGAAAGTGTGTGGTGAGCCTCAGAACCTGAGATCTACCTAGTATTAGCCCATGGGATGGAAAGAGCCATCTGACTACTACAAAATTGTCCTCTCACCTCCTCAGATGCACTGTACATCACAAACAAAACGGGCACAAATAAATTTTCTTTTGGTCTTCGTTTTGTTTTGCTTTTTATAAAACATGTTTTAGGAAATAATGACATGCCTTTAAAAAAAACCCAGCACTAGGGAAGCAGAGGCAGGCAGATCTCTGTAATTTCGAGGTCTACAGAGTGAGTTCCAAGATACCCAAGAATATTACACAAAATAACCCTGTCTTGAAAAACTGCTATTTTATGCTGCCACCTTCACATAAAGTTAACCCAGTTATGTTTCTAACAGTTCTGACATTGAGAGTATGCTAGGCATATCTGTTTACTTGTTAAAGACTGCCCACTGTAACCACCATGCCTAAGCATATCTCTCTATTTTACTTTGTACTTTCACATATCGGCCTGGAAAACATTATGCAACTCAGGTTTAAGAATATACTTAAATTTAGTTGGACCAGCAAGATGGCAAGTATTGAAGTGTTGAAGGGGCTTGTTTGTAAAGAGCCACAATGACCACAGAAACTCTTAAGAAAAGCACTCAATTGGTGTGGCTCACTTACTATAGTTTCCGAGGTTCAGTCCATTGTCATAGTGTAGAACATGGGGTGTAGAGGTCCCAGGAAGTGTGACACAATTGGTATCCCACAGTAAAACACACTTCCAACAAAGACATAACATCTTCAAAAAGTCACACCTCCAAATAAGGGTCCAGTTGCCTTCAGACTACCACTTTAGAAATAGCACAGAAGTTCAGTTCCCAGCAAGCCAGGGTCAGATGGTCTCCTTGACTTCTCCAACATCTTCGAATATGTACACACACAGACATGAGTTGGAGGCCAGGCTGGGCCTCAAAAATAATTGTTCTAAAGAAAAGGAGTAAGAATATATAAATATTTTACTTCCAATTATACTCATCTGCTTAAAGGGTGTGAAGCCAGTGATACTTAGTTAGGATTAGTATGCCAACTTCAGCCAATTGAAACAAGACTGAACTGCCATAGTTCAATTGCTATGAAACATGACTATAGCAACTCTTACAAAATAAAGCAGTTAATTGGGGGCTTTCTTTAAGTTTCGGAAGCTTAGTCCAAGTCAAAGCAGAGAGTATGGCAAAAGGCAGATGTCGTGTTTGAGAAGTAGCTGAGACCTACCCGATCGGAAAGAGACTCTTTGACTAAGCATACAAATATATGAGCCTATGGGCCATTCTTATTCAAACCACCACACATCTGTTAGCATAGGATGAATGTGGACACATGCCTCTTCCCCCTTCCTGTGCCTCAGGTTTGTACTTTGCTTCGAGAAGATGCCCGAGACAGGAAGAATCCCCAGGATGAGCAATTCCATGTCCTTCCACTACATCGGCTGGCAGACACTGATGAATTTGGCTCCCGGGAGGGGATGGAAGCTAAGATCCGCTCTGGGGCCATCGAAATCATTAAGCCATCCATGAGGAAGCTACTGCATTTCAATGAGCCTATTCCTCGATGTGGGAAGAGGAGGACCACAATGAAGGGGCAGAACAAAAATCCAGCTGCTGAAGAAGTCAAAAAGAAGAGGAACTCTTCTAGTAAGTTTGGCCCACTGTTGCCCCAGAAGAATCAACACCCAGCTCCCAAATAACTCACATGGAAGCTTATCTCAGCCTTACTTTTCTAAATTTACATTATTCTGTCTACCTCTTGCCTCTGGGATTAAATCTTCCTCTTATGTATATCTTGCCTTCTCTTGTACCTTGGCTAGCTCTATGGCTGGGTGTCTGAGAGCTAGCGTCCTCCCTCCTTCTCTTGCTCCTTTCTTTCTTTTTGATCCCAGATTTCTCCTATTCTCTGTCTGCCTGCTAGCCCCACCTAGCCTTTGTCTCTGCTCAACTCTTGGCTGTTCAGCTCTTTATTAGACCAATCAGGTGTTTTAGACAAAGTATCACAGCTTTACAGAATGAAAGGAAAGCAATATAATATATATAGGTAAACAGATGTAACATAGCTAAAATAATCTTCCACAACAGAAATGACTATCTTTTGTTTTTTCATCCTCACCTAGTCCTCATTCACATTTTTATAAATGTTACTCTTCCTACTCTTCTCTTTAAACTGCTTTTAGATCTAAGCACTCCTGCCCTTTTTGGTAACAACGCTGTGGTAACGGTACCTGGTTTTTGTTTTTCAAGACAGGGTTTCTTCATGTAGTCCTCCTCCTGAGGTGGACCAGAAGCCTTTGGTTTCTCTAATTACCACGCCCAATTAAAATTAAATGCCTCATCCTAACATGTGTTTTCCCCATTTACCTTAAAAAACCACCTTTTGCCTATGTGCCACATCTGTCTCCTCTATCCAGAGCCTTTGTCCCTTTGGGACAAATACCTTTCCCCCTCTCTCTTGTCCCTATTCCTTTTTCTCCTCTTAAAAATTACACCTGCAAGGTTGTTTGCTGCTGTTTTTTAGCCTGAGTTAGAAAGCAGCCACTTTTTTCCCTGCTTAGTAAAGGATCCTATCTCTCTGTCCTCACTCTTCCATTGTTGTCTGCCTAATTTAATTCATTGACTAAGGTTTCAGCTTCTTACTGGAGCTTCATCTATTTCCTAAGACGGGAATTGCTTAATCTGGATTGTAACGGGTGTGGTGGTGCAAGTGCGTGCGAGAGATGGATTCCAGTGAGCGCTTTTTAAATTTTTTTATTAGGATGATTCAATAATTTGTTTTATGGTGCCCTTTGGTCACGATTTTTTGTTTTTAAAGTACGTTTGAAATCTTAACACAGACCTAATTGTCTCTAATAGCTCCTGTTATGGAAGTATGTTCTGGTTTTTCTTTAATTTTGAAATGAATATGATGAGGTCCAGGAAAGATGGCCACTGGTAAAGAGGACTTTCTGCTTTTTTAAAGGATTTTTGTATGAACAGTACATAGGCTGCAGTGTAGCTTCATGGGATTCATCCCTAGCATGACCCTAACATTAGAAGGCTTGGTATTTTTCCTTATGTCTGTATACCACATGCATACCTGGTACTTGAGGAGATCAGAAGAGAGTGTCTGGAGTTATACAAATGTGAGCTTCCATGTGGGTGCTGAGAATGAAACTGTAGCTCTTGGAGAGCAACAAGTGTTCTTAACTTCACAGTCAACTGTCCAGTATCCAGGACACATTTTTAGAATTCAAAGCACGGGCACTTGAGACGCAGAGACAACCAGATATCTGAGCATGGTCTTCTACCTTCCTACTGCTACTTTCCCTTTACTGATTCCCAGCCATAAGATACTTTTCATCCCTCCTTCATGACTGATTTAAAGTGTTCAGAGCCCCTCATATACAAAAGGATCTCAGTCCACAGGTTGAGAACTGCTCGTCTACATAGTGAATGCCAGTCTGTGTAGAGAGATACTGTTTGTAACTGTTATTATAGTCTAGCGATAGAGTGCTTGTTTTCCCAGGAGCTAACATCAGGAGGCATAACATTTGAAATAGGATTTTTAACATCTGACAGGTGAAAAATAGCTTATTTTTTGTTGCTTATGATCTAATAGTGAGATAGTGCGGCCTAGAGTTAAAATTAAAACAAAGCCCCACTTTCTTTTTCTTTTTTTTTTTTTTTTGGTTTTAAGAGACAGGGTGTCTCTGTATTGCTTTGGACCCTGTCCTGCAACTAGCTCTTGTAGACCAGGGTGGTCTCTAACTCTAGAGATTCGCCTGTCTCTGCCTCCCAAGTGCTGGGATTAAAGGCTTACACCACCACCGCTCGGCGCCCCATTTTATTTTTAAAGGTTCCGACAACATGAAAAACCACTCATCAGCATTCTCCAATGTGCAGTGCCTTCTGGAACACACAGTGGGGCTAATGCAACCACTGTTGAATGTGCTGGAAGTGAACAGCCTGGTAAAGTGGCTCCTCTCCCTCACCCGTCTCTCCCCATAGCAGATTCCCCTGTGGATGCTGAGCCTCGGATGCACTTCCACAGCGGTCTTCATGAGCCGGAGGCACACTATGCAGCAGACGAGCCTCTCTCAGACGACCAGTCGTCCGACGAAATTATCATCAGTCAGACTGAGTTTCTGTCAGACAGTGAGGAGGTCTACTATGATCCTAGTTTTGGTGGAGTGGCGATAGCAGTTACTCATGGCTCAGTGCTGATTGAATATGCCCGGGGGGAACTTCATGCTACCACCGCTCTGAGAAATCCCAGCCGATCTAATCCTACACGTTCATCCCTTGTATTCTACCAGCACAAAAACCTGAATATGCCCAACCATGGTTTTAATCAGTACAGGGTTAAATATAAACCCCAAGATTTAATAAAAAAAAAGCCCTTAGACCGGGAGGGTCCTGATTTATCCTTGGATGCCAATTTACTCCACACAATTCCTTCTCGTATTGCACCGACCTTAACCCATGACAATGTTGTCACTGTATCCCCTTACGCTTTCACTCACATTGCAGGACCCTACAACCACTGGGTCTGAAGGCTTTTCTCCCATAATGCCTTTGCTAGTGCAGTGTGTAGTTTCTACGGTGCTGATCAAAAGAAAATCACATTGGTGTTTACTGTGTCTTCATTTCACCCATTTCAACTCCGAGGTAAAATTTAAAAGGGGGACTTAACTGTGACTATATTTTGAGAATTGGTGGAAGGCATACATTTTCAGCAAAAATAAAAGTTTTATAGTTTAAATACATAAATATCTTGGTTAAGTGTTGACCATGATAGAATCATAGTCTGGTGCTTCAAATTAAGTTTGTTTACTATGAAGAGGATTTTAACAGGTTCCTGCAATAAGTTGTAAAAACCAAGATACAGTGTTAACTCTATACATAAGTTCCTGGTGCTTAACCACATCAACACATGTAGTAATGAGCTGAATGAGTATGTCATGGTGCCATCCTTCCAGCATCTTCTGATCATTGCTATCATGTCTGCATATTTCTTTGAAATAAACCAATGAAATGCTTTTTCTCTTAAAATATCTCTTCTATATAAAATAATTCTTTATTCTAGTGGTGGGTGGAGCTGTTCATTGACTGTAAATATATATTTTGAAAAGCACTTTCTATTTTGAAAAGTAACTTGAAATAGTATGGTAGCTGAATCCTATTGTCCATTGTGTATGCATATTTGCATATCAGAGAAGTCCGTTCATATAGTGAAGAGTTCCTTTCTGTTAACTGGTTTGTATTTAAATGATCTATGACCATTGTTCTCTATTTAGGCAATACAAGATTTCCAAAAATTAGAAATGCAAAGTTGCCACCAATATCAATTTCCCCCTTTTAACTAGGAATTTTTTAAAATATTGTTCTCTGAAGTGTCCTCATGATTGAAGTGTATGACCCATGACAGATGTTTTCAAAGGGACAAATTGAGATCAACTAAATGCTTCCAGTGTTTCTTTTATTGCTTTCAGTCCAGCATCACACAGAAACATTTGTACTTTAAGCCAATTAATCTGAACCTTTTGGGTTAAAGCAATTCAATCTTTTTAGTAATCCCCTGCTTTGAAGGTCACTTCAGTGTTCCAAAGTTCTACACATTGTTTAATTGATTCATATGCCAAGACTCCCCAAACAAAAAACCTAGAACCAGGAAACTCAGTGAAATCAAATGCACAGGTGCTATGGCATTCAAGGTATTGGACAGGACTCTAATGGTGCTTCTCAGATGCCACAGGAAGCCCGCGACTACCATCGCAATCTTGGTGCAAGCTTCAGCAAAGCTCTCTAGAGAATAACTTATTGAAATAATATATGGTGCAAAGTTTCTGACTAAGGGAAAGGAAGAAGATTGTAAATAAGGAAGTGTCCATTGACATTCCAGCATTTGCAAGTAGATTTATGCTCTTTTATTATATACATTAAGGTAATTTGTTGACCTGATTTAGTAGTTTGTGTGCCTTAGAATTCTGTTTAAAAACATCTCTATTTTTAGCCTAGGGTTTCTTACACATAGAACTATATAAATGTGTTATCTTCAGCTGCTTCGGTAAGGTATTTGTTGGTGCATATTGCCAGGAATACTCCCTTGTGAAGGTAGCTTTGAGGTTTTAGGCCTTAGCTCCCACTAGAAATTGTTTCCTTGCCATGCTCATGGGTTAAAATCTTTCCTTGCCTTTATTCATCCATTCATCCACCCCTCCGGTGCACATTTAATTGAATCTTCTGGATTGAATTTGACCTTCTTTTTCCTTGAATCACCAGCTAGGATGCAATATTATAAAGACTGCTTAGGATTATTTCCCAAAATAATATTTTCTGTCTAACAGCCCTAGCTGTCCTTGAACTAGCTGTAGAACAGGCTGGCCTGGAACCTGCATTTGCTAGGATTAAAGGTGTGCACCACCATGTCTGGTTTAATAAAGTGGTTTGAGATGACAGTCACCTGACATTTTTTTCTATACCTCTATTTTACTATAATTACAAATTTCTTTTTACTTTGTTTGTGGAACCGAAGTTGAACACATATTAGGCTTTTCACGGTGTGAACACTGATCTCATTGTTACATATAACCTCCATCATAGCACAGCTGATGCTTTGAGACTAGGTCTATGTAGTCCTGGCTGTCCTGGAACTCACATAGTGGACCAGGCTACCTTACAATTCACAGAAATCTGCTTGCCCCTGCCTCTGCTGGGATTAAAACTGCCACCCCTCCTTACACTTTTGTTTTTCTTGTGCTTGTCAGTCTCATCTATATCCTTTTTCCAATTTTCTGCAAGGTACCAAATAGATCTTGTCATAAATCTCATTAAAATACCATTGTTGGTCCATTAGGATAATAGAGGTAAATTTGTGAGAGCTGTAAGTATTCCATTCATCTCCATGACATAGCTGTATGGATATCTGTAACTGACTTGATTTACCCTAAGTAAACTTCCTAGTACTTTTATTCCTGATAAGCATTTCACCATAGCATGTGCAAACTGAACACAAAGCTATGACAATATTTCATGGCAGCTTCCATCAGTTGTGGGCACACTGACCTTGAATGTGCCAAAAAGTTGCCTTCAGTTACACCGTTCAATGCATGAGATTATTTAGCAGTCTCACTGCAATAGAAGTCATAAAGCTCAGGCCCTGTGCTCAGAAACAGATGGCACCTGTCAGCTTGTAATTGCTTCAAGGCTCTGTTCTTAGGAGGATTGTGCAAAACAACCTCACCAAGAGAGTACTGTTAATGTGAACTATCGTTATTTTTGTACAAGTCCTCCATGGAGGTTCAGAGCAAGAAAGGTCATGGTAAAATTAGGTCAAGATTCCCGTGACTATCAATATCCTGGGCTTTGCAGAGAAATTACTGAATTTACCTATGAAACTAGCCTATTCTTTTCCTATAAACCAGGCAGTCCTTGTCTTTGCCATTCTCTGGATATCTTAAGGACTGGCTGGTGAAAATGTGCTGAGGAAAGCATATTTTCCTTGTATATATTACCTAGTTGTGGTTGCACAATTCCTTTCTGCCCCTCACCTAGCCATCTTTGTAAAAGGGAATGCTGGTTCATTGCACATAGCCTTCCTAAGCCTGCTCTGTTTTGTCACTTCAATGTGGCATATTTAGCCTCGTGGTGTAGCCATTGCTTGGTTGTGTAAGACATTTAGATTCTTAAAATGAAGTGGGTGTTTCGTAATGTATTTCTCGCAGCATTAGAAAGTAAATACTGCCAACCCTGTTGTCAGGAAGGCCATTCAGAAGTAGGCAATTGTCTCATGTTTTCTGAGCATGTTAGGACAGTCTTCAGAATCTGTTGTAGAGCTGGATTTTTTTTTTTAACAGAGACTTGTGTAGCCAGTCATGAACTATGACTGAGGACATTGAGAAATTTTTTTCCTTTTCTTGGTCTCACTGTATATCCCTGGCCAGCCTGGAACTCGAGACATATACCAAGCTAGCCTTGAGCCTAACAGAGGTTCCTCCTGCCTCTAATTTCACCACAGCTGGGTCCTGTAGTGCTGTGAACTGTACCCATTCTCTGGTGTATCTTTTCTATCCCCATCTGCTAGAGTGCAGTAAGGTAGTTTTAGTCACTGAGTCTTATATGCAGGTAGACTTTCCTTATCCTACAAACTTAACTGTTGATAGAAACTTGTTTCCTAGGGTAAATTTACTCTTGAAACTACAATTGTACTAGGGTGATGGTCACAGCCCTGGTATACTGGAATTAGAATCTCCTTATCTCAAACCAGCAGCTCACTACACAGTTTCCTAAATAAAAATCCTTGATGAGCCAACAGAAGCTCTGGTGATGAAGTCAAGACACCCAAAAAAAACCAAGAAGTACCTTTTTTCCTATCTGTTCTCTTCAAACTTTTAATTGAAAGTATCTTTTAAAATCAAGGTAGTGTTTTCAAAGTAAATAGGACATTAGCAAAATAATAAGCATGTCTCCCAAGTGTGGTCCAGTGCATGGGGAGGTAGAGGCATTAGGATGTTAGGTTGAAGGTCAGCCTCAGCTACATGAGTGCCTATCTTACAGACTGTTGTGTACATTGCCATCCCCCCCCACACACATACTGAAGCTTAGAAAACAGATCTCTATAGATGAATGCAAGCAACAAGAATGGCCAGCAGCTTACTCCGTGTCACACAGCAAGTCCAAAGGAATATGAGTGATATATTTATGGGTGCTTTGCTTTCATGTTACGTGTGTGTCGTATGTGCTGTGCCCATAGAAGTCAGTAGGGTCCCCTGGAAACTGGAGTTAGGCTGTCATGAGCTGCCATCCTGGTGCTGGAAAACTAACCAAGGTCTTCTGGAAGACTAACAAGTATTCTTAGCCAGTAAGCCACCCATGGATGAAGTGCTCTTAAACTGCGAAGTTCTATATGTAGTTATGCAGGAAAAACAGAATTGGGGTTTTATTAAATAGAGGTAATAAGAAAATATAAATTATTTATAAATTATTTATAAAGCAGTTTTGTTTCCATTGTTTATCTAGCTGTTTTCATTCACATATTAAAGGTCTCAAATTCTCATTTGTTCATTAAAGCTTAGGTTATGATTTATATTTTGTTTTATTTGTATGTGTGTTTTTAAGGCAGGTTCACTATATAGCTCTAGCCACCCTGGAAAATTCAATATATCCCAGGACCAAATGATTTGATCCCTAGATATACAGATTGCGTGTATGAACCACCTTATTCAGTGATCAAAAGAGATTGCCTTTATTATTAATAAATAGGAATACAAATTTTCCACTAAGTAGTGTTTTAAATAGTACTTTTAAAGCCCCTTACAATCAAAGTTTAATATATTTGTTTAAATATATTGAAATGAAGGTTTCTTGAAGGAAATGGTGCTAGCTGAACAATTTTAGTTCCTGGCCCTTTGTTATAAATATGCAAAATTACTATTTGTAACAGATTGTATCGTCTCTAGATTGCGTGGGTTGTCTTGTGGTGGGTTTTCGAGTGAGTGTGTGTCTGTGTGTGTGTTTGTGTGTTTATGTGTCTGTGTGTGTTCCTTCTGCTTTGTAGCCAAATCTTTGGAGCAAATAGACCTTTACCTAGAGAGTTAACAATACCGGATGTAAAGTTTCTAGTACTCTCCCCATAGGATATTTTACCAACCTGTATATGGAAGTGGTATGTTTTGACTATTGTGATACATTCTTTGACACAAAATGGGGCAGGCAGTTCAAGTAACTTTGAGTATTCAAGTGAGACCTCCTAAACTGGGACGTCCTCTTCCCAGCACCGTGCTGTGATAAAATAGCTGATTGTATTGGACTTTAAAGACACAGCTCATAGGAAAGATTAAATATTTTTATTGCAATGTATGGTCATATTTTTTTTAGCCTTTATGGAGTTAACATTGTGATAGGTGCTTGAAGAGAAATATTTTTCCAGAAATGGTTTTATAGCTAAAACTGGGCAGCTTTTGCATTGTGATGTGTGGGTTTCATGAAGTGTTCCCTAAGGAGAAAGCTGTAGGATCCATGGCAGAGATATCAACATGAATTTCTAGTTTGAT